AATGGGCAAATTTCGCTATTTTCGCTGACAAGTAAAATCTGCTAAATTAAACCTACATGAACATGTAAAGTAACAACAGATTGTTTCCTTGACAGATTCTTGAAATTAAATCATCAAAATAGTACAACTAAAAAGTCTGTACAACATACTTAGAACAGATAAATAAAAACATCGTATGTTCGTCCGAACTTTGAGCCCTTGAAAGTAACTGATCCAGCCCTTACATACGCCATGCAACGATTGAAATCTGTTTAATTGCTATCAAATTATCGCTTGAAAAAAAAATTTCATTTGTGAGACGTGCTTTTGATACAAACTGAAGATCGCGATCGACCCTACACAAAACTACCGCCATTTTGTCTTCCTTGTCCTTGTTCGGCAAAAACAAAAAACTCGCATATTTACTATTTGTTTGATGTTTTTAAATAACATGACATGCTCAAATAACATCCATCATGATATAATAAATCATTATATACTAAAATTCGCAAATTTGCAGACCTTCCAATGAAATATTACCAGTTTTTTTTTTTGCGACAGAATACGTTATTGCAATATGCAAATTAGGCTACTCACCCTAGTCAAATATTTGTTAAGAAACTTTAAAGACTCTAAGTTATAAATTAATTAATGCAATAATTGACTAATTAATATGCATGGAATTGCACCAAAATCTAATCAGCGCATCTACTCATCATATATTAGCTGTGTGCCAAATTTCATTTGAATTGAAATTGTAGATCTTGAGTTATCAGTGGAACAAATTTTAGTCACAGAGTCACAGACACCGGTACCGCATAAGCTCCGTTTCACCGGAGCTAAAAATGGTGCAGGTAAATATCACACGGTGTGTGGTATCATTTGATTTTCCGTGTATAAATAATCTATTATACCATTTTTAAATGAAATTACATATTATGCTATGACTGGTATTTTCGGAGACATGAATTATTTTTTTCTAACCCACACGATGGCGCTATAATGTTTCTTGTTAGTCATGACCCGGCCAAAAGGGTAAACCTAGGTAAGGGTAAAAAGAGTAAAAATCAATCTGTTGACAGAATTGTTCTATAAGCACTGTTATATCGCCTGTTTGAAAAGTTGTGCCTGATGAATGGATTATGTCGTGGTGCAGCACACGTCCTCAGTATTTTGTACGTACTGTTTTCGATTACCTAGTAATGTAGTCATATGCGCTTAGACTAAGGTTTGTCCATTCAGCCTTCACTCTTGATTATCGATCATTTGGACATGGATATCCACGGAGCCATCTGTCTGTAATTCTACTCAAAATACAACACAGTCCATGTTCCCTTTTTCTAAAATTTTGCTCTCTTAAAAAGGCGACCATGTAATTATTTGTAATATTTGTCACGAAGATAACAGATGACAGGTCTGTTTGTTACTTTCACTCATCAATTTTCTTATGATGTTAACTTTCTGGCCATGAAATATTTGAAATAACAGTTTAAAAAATGTTTCTTTTCAGGCAACAACCAATAAAAGTTTGTTGACTCGTTAAGATTTTAATTTTGTATTTTAAAAATGTTTATTTTTACGGTGTACATGTAATAAGTTTGGGGGATAGCAGTGAAATTACATAACATAAAAAACAACATCACACCTCGGGGCACAAGCGATTGTGCTTGTATTTTATAATTAAAGCAGGGTGGTCTTCGCGCAGCGTGTGTTCCAATTTCATGTAAATAAACAATGTATTTTACATGCGTTAATACGTCGCTATGAGTCCCATATCGAACAGGACGTGGCATGACGACTGCCGCCCTTTAAGCCAAACAAAAATTAAGTGGTTCCTATAAAGGCTGTTCAACAAAAACATGTGATGAAGGTATGGCCATTTAAAAAGAACTACATGAAATGTAACAGACTGCATTGTTACGTACTGATTCTGTAGTATTAACAAACAAATTCCTCCATAATGGGAGGCCCAGTTCTGGTCAAGTGCGCCATGAAGTGCTGAACCATCAGGATGTCCTTCTGTAATGACTCAGTGGGTGACAAGTCCATTGTGAAACAAATTACATTACCCAGTTGAACCAGTAAAACAAAATTTGTATTATTTACTACTCTTGCTGCAACAAAGGCATTCTCTTCATCTTTATAAATATTTATAACTTTCCCAATTCAAATTGAAACAAGATTTCTTTTGTCCGATTGAATAACATTGGAATGTTTTCAAACAACGCTGAGAGTACCGTAAATACATGTAATTTGTTTTGTGTTTTAATAGACACTGAAGAAACACCATGTATGATTAGTGACATTCCAGTCGTTGGATACCCCCCAGGCACGGCAGAAATTTATGTATCTTTTGATCAGTATAATGACGAGCTGTATTATCGTGTAGATTTTGGTGACGAGCAAGGTGAGTACATATATATTGTCAGGAGACGATTTGCAACAACATAACGTGCATGTGTTCTATTTAGTGACAAATGTGCAGTTACTTTCTAATAAGTCCTATTGAGTATGTTGTCTTGGTGGTGGTTACTTTCAATATGGGTTTCAATTTAAATGATTGTTACTCTTGTGCATAGTAGAGCTATTCACATGTCATTTGAACATTCACAACACATTGAAGATGCCTGAAAAAATGAGATCAGAATTTATCCAGGGTATTATATGTTGTGCAATCCTGACAATACGTATCAAGTTTACACAGTTTGGTTTAGACAGGTTTTAAGTTTACACAGGGTTTGGTTTAGACAGGTTTTCAGTTTACACAGGGTTTGGTTTAGACAGGTTTTAAGTTTACACAGGGTTTGGTTTAGACAGGTTTTAAGTTTACACAGGGTTTGGTTTAGACAGGTTTTCAGTTTACTCAGGGTTTAGTTTAGACAGTTTTTCAGTTTACACAGGGTTTCAGTTTACACAGGGTTTGGTTTAGACAGTTTTTCAGTTTACACAGGATTTGCTTTAGACAGTTTTTCAGTTTACTCAGGGTTTGGTTTAGACAGG